GAAATTAATACCCATCCAACTAACGGTATGAAACCGGACAATAATTTCTCGCGGAAGTAGTTGCGATTAGCATTCTACATTAATACCCATCCAACTAACGGTATGAAGTCAGACAATGATTGCTCATGGAAATAGCTTTGATTAGCATTCAAAATTAATACCCATCCAACTAGAACTAATCAAGTTTCCTATTCTACCCTCGTTATAATTAAAGTCAAGACGGAAAAACAACTACAAGCAACTCAACAACATGAGGTCAAATCCGTCAAATTGATGTGAAATGAATAACTAATTTAGATGAAGTGCCCAAGTGGTAAAAACTATGGAATTTGTGTGGGAGGTCGAAGGGTTGGGTTCACATTCCATGCAATAATTAAAAGGTCTTTGATTGGGGCCTTGGGCATCCTTGATTAAAATAATAATTTCTTTTTTATTTTAATTATTTTCGAAATTATTTAATAAGTTAATCTAGCCAGTATTAGATGACCATTTTTCAACAACCCATCATCCACATTCCATTAAAACATTTAGCCCCTGTTTGGGCCGCATTATTACTTCATTAAAATGAAAAATATGACCGTTATCCATCACATCAAGTCATCATTTTTGAATTTCTATCTCTGGTGTGGGGCCCATAACGGCTCTATTTCTCATTCTCATTCTCATTATAATGCCTACCAAACAGGCTCTTAATCTTTCTGGATCATGGTGGAGGTAATTATTTCTATTCTGCCTATATAAACACTTATCTAATTAAAAAAAAAAAACCACATCAAAAATAAATTATAAATTTTCATATTCTGAAAGTTTTATAATCCAGTTTTACATATTTTTCTGAAGTATAGTTGAGAGTTCTGAGAAACATTTGTAATTGCTTCACAAGTAATTTGTGATCGTTGTATCTTGGGAATTATTGTTCATAGAGGTCGTAGCAGTTATCGATGGACAATTCTACTTTAGGACATCGTGCTATCACGAAACTCGATCAATCGATAAGTTTTATTTCTACATTTTACTATTCTACAAGTTATTACAACTAGTTATCTTTCCAATAGTTTGTATTGTTGAACGCCAACCAAACACGTTTCTATAAAGTTTTATTTCCATACATGGTTGGAAAGGCCTTCAAACTCAGGGAGCTTGCTCCTGCTCATACGATTTTATTAATTTACTTATATTTTTATTTCAGCAAAGGGTTATTTTAGTCGTTTATGATTTCATATGGTTTTTGTTGCTTAAAATTAGAATTTCAGAAACATTATAAGTCAAAGATGTTGGGTGCTGCACTATACATTCAATTTCACAGTCATAATCTTCCGTCACTATTAAAGAATATGTGGTTGAAAAGAAAAAAAAAAGAAGTGTATTTTAGAATTAATGGGGCCCAAATAGGGACCTAATTTGTAATATATGTTGTATGTTCGAACTAAATAATAATACACTTATCTTGCGGGAAGCTTTTACTATATTTACCAGTGTTCTAAAAGGCATAATACGTGGCGATGCATCAAGGGCAAACTAAGGGCTAGCGAGCTTAAGCAAGGCAAAGACGTAAAAAAATGTTTTCTTATTTTAATATTATTTTTAATCAATAAAAAAATTATTTTATAATTATAAGTTTCAACTAAAAAAATTGTAAAAAAAAAAAAATTAATAATGTGCACCTAGCCGCTCCTCCCCCAGCATTTGGCAGTCAACGGTCCACTGACCGCCAAATAAGGCGCCAAGCACTTGGCCTCGCCTCGCGCCTAGGCGCACTACTTAGAACACTGAATATACGCACACTTGTATCAAACTCGTCATTCACGCCATGGGAAAGAATGTCATCTTTTCATTGCTAGCAATGCTTTAAATTCTTACCAACGTTGTTGCATCTCTAAATAGCTCTATTGATGAGTATGCTCTTCTAGCCTTCAAATCTCAAATAACTTCTGATCCAAATAAAATCTTAGCTAAAAATTGGTTACTAGGAACCTCATTGTAGGAGACATCAAAGAGTTAGGGGTTTGAATCTAGCAAATATGGGTCTAGGGGGTACCGTTGCTAATGAAATCGGTGAACTCTCTTTTTGGAGATGCTTAATTATTAGTAATAATAATTTTCATGTGTTTATCCCTAATGAAATTGGTAAGTTAAGGCGGCTTTGAGAAATAGAAATGCAACATAATGAGCTAAACGGTACTATTCCAGCAAGTCTTGGATTCCTTGAAAATCTACACAAGTTAAATCTCTCCAACAACCAACTCACGGAAATATTCCTAACATGATTTTCAACCTCTCTTCTCTGATTGTAATTAGTTTTACCAGCAATAGTCTTTCAGGAAGTCTACCTATGGATATTTTCTACAATCTTCCAAAGCTAGAGATGCTACTAATTTCAATGAATCAAATAAGTGGCAACATTCCTCCAAAATTAGGAACATGCATGAATCTTAAAATACTTTCTCTGTCGGCAAATACTTTAACTGAAGCATTCCAATGGAAATTGGAAATCTGTCAAAACTTCAAATTCTCTATCTTGGAGTAAATAAATTGATAGGTGCGTTTAAAGCATTAATTTTCATATACATACATCTCCCAGTTCATAAGATAATATTTCGAAAAATTTTGAAAATTGACCAATTTTGTTGTCCCTTCACATCATAAAACTTCTCTTTCACAAAAATGATTGGTTGAAAGAGAAGGAAAAAATTTTAATTTACGTGTAATATTATTTTATGGAAGATTGTGTGGTTGAAAATTGAAAAGAGAAAAATAGAATGTAATGAAATTGATATTAATGGGGGCCAAATTTGGCCCATAAATTTAGTTATGGAAAAGCGTGTAAAAAAGTCGACCAACGAACATATATAAAGAATTAAAGAAGTCATCAAACCCTTTAAAAAAAAGTTGCAATATTCAATTGACTGGATGGTACAATGAGTTAAATCAGCATTGACAAATGTTCAGTGCGTATAATATTTTTCAAATAATTATTATAAAATATAAATACATCATAATAACATCAAACTCTATGTTCCTACTTTTATTTGAGATGGATATCACTAACGGCTAGCCTCATTATTATGTTCAGTCAGTATTTTATAATCTTTTCATTATTCATTAGATTCATTTTTTTAATTTTAGGCTATGTTTGAACCACATTTTATTAAAATATATATATATATATA